CAGGATGCTACTGGAACAGCCGGCATAATAATACATAATAAGACGCTGAATATCAGGAACCACAAGAGAACGAAATACGGGTTTTTATGGCTGGAAGTGGGTAATATGGGAATTTATAGCTCCTATTTTTCACCGAATGATACGCTAGAAAAATTCAGAAAGATATCGATGAGCTGGAGGCTAGTTTGAAAACGTCTAAGCGCAAGGTATTAGTGGCAGGCGATTTCAACGGTAAGTCGTCCGAATGGGGAGAGACGCGCTTCGATAGAAGAGGAACTATCATATGTAAATTCATTGCAAGAAATGGTCTAATCATCTTAAATAGTGGGGATGAGTACACCTTTCAACGAGAAGCCGAATCATCTATTTTGGATTTGACAAGCTCCACTAAGCTAGCTAAAGGCATCACTGATTGGTCAGTGCTCGACGAAGAAACCCTGAGTGACCATCGGTACATAGGATATTCGACTCCGTTAACGGAGGGGCTGCAACATGTCAAAACGCGATATAAAGGAAGACCACCTTGTAATCCCAAAAAACTGAATGAAGACAAGGCAAAACGCTCCTTGGAAGAATCCAGGTTGCTGGTTAACATGGGTTGGACGAAAGAGGCGGATACGCTTGAGGATGTGGTCAAGGCAACGGAGGAAATAGTAGAGCAGCTTGCGACGTATCCATGCCTAGACGTATATGTCCGAAAAGGAAACAGCAAATATATTGGTGGGCACCAGAAATAGCCGAACTACAAAGGAACTGTAACGAGGCAAGAAGAATAGCGACAAGGGCCAAGACGAATCTGCACCTCAGGGAACAGTATTAAGAACTCTCCAAACTGCCTAAGAGAGAAATAAAAAGAAGTAAAGGCAGATGCTGGAAAGAGCTCTTGCAACAGATAGATAACGACCCATGGGGCATGGTTGATAAAATAGTAAATAAGAAATTCAGGATGGACTGAAAGATACCTGGATCGAATGACTCACAATGGATGAGGAAAGCTATCAGGAACCTCTTCCCCACTAGAGATCCTTGGACGAGACAAAGACAGAGCGACATCACGGTTGACGCAGCAGATTACTTCACGATAGACGAACTAAGGAGAGCGGCGAAAAACATGAAAACTGGGAAGGCCCCAGGTTTCGATGGAATTCCCTATGAAATACTAAAAATAATGGCACAGGAGTATCCGGAATACCTTTTGTCTATCTATAACTGCTGCCTTGAGAATGGGATATTCTTCAAGACGAGGAAGAGACAAAAGCTGATACTCCTCCGAAAGGGCAACAAGCCGATCAAGCGAAGATAGATCAGACGTCATCATACAGACCACTGTGCCTCCTTGACACCATGGGCAAGCTGCTTGAGGGTTTAATGCTCTCTAAGCTTGAGGGACTCATATGCTTTGCTCACAGGCAATATGGATTCCGGAGAGGCCGCTCGACGACGGATGCCATCCTGGAAGTAATCGATAAAGCAGACGCAGCCAGAAGAGGAGTCGGCAAGGAGAAGGGATTCTGTGCGCTCGTGGCAATTGACATCAAAAACGCCTTCAACTCCGCTAGGTGGAAGGACACAATAGAAGTGTTAATTAACAAGATGATTCTGAAATATCACATAAGGCTTATCGAAGACTACCTCCATGGAAGGACGATAACTTATGTGGACAGTGTCAGGATAGAAGAGAATGTGACGTGCGGTGTTATCGCGGTGCGGATCGTAGGGAGGCCCACATGTAGTCTCTGCCACGCAGACATAGATGATGCGGAACACACACTATTTCAGTGCAAGGCATGGGACGCGGAACGAGAGATTTGTAATGCCAACCTCCAAAAAGCTATAAATCCAGACAATACGGTCGACATAGTTAGTATTATGAAGGAGAATGAATTAAGACAGGGGAAGTAGAGCATCTACTACCAGCCAATCTCCTTCGTGAAGTAATGTCTAACGGCGGTTTCCGCGCGGGAGAGAATACGGTTTAAGAGACGGAGGTTAGGTTTTTAGTCGGTAACCTAGTTGGGAGTCCGACATCACCAGCTTCACTGGTATCCATAAAGGATTTTCCTCCTCCTTAATAATAATATTAATAATAATAATAATAATAACAATAATTTATTTTTTCTTTGCTTAAGCTCGAAACAGTTTACATGAAACAGATTGTCTAATGGGATAATAAATTCTTATTTATTTATATATTTTAAGGGAAATGTTGTAATTTGAAAATTTCTTTACACTTTAGAACATGTTTTAAGCAGGAAAGCTTTCAATTTACTTTTAAATGTATGAATTGTGTTTATGTCTTTAATATCATTGC